ACCTGCTCACCAGGAAAGGGGGTCGGTACAAGGACTGGCCAGGAAATGGTACTTAGCCTCTGCCACCTGAGCTGTAGATAAAAAGGAGAGAAAATGGTTTTGGGCTTGTAACACAGGATACAGAGCAACCACTGGCAAAGAGTAAGTGCAGAGGTTTGGGGTTTTTTTCCTCTGCTGGAAAATGGTGAGCTGTATGGTTTGGCCCATTGTAAAAAGACTTAATGTTTGAGGCCCGAAGTAAGGGAAAGTGTCTCCTTCCAAAAAAGGGGAAAACAGGGGGTTTTGCTACATAGGTGAATTTCAAGTTAGCTTCAGATGTTTTCTGAATGCTGAAACAGTATGTGAGGCAATGGCAACTACTGCATGTAAGGGAATACAAGTGTTCTTTCAAAGACACTTGTGCAGTCGCAGAAAAAAATTATAAGGGTTCTCCAAGCAAGAAGCCCAAGTGCACCTTTCAAAAACCTGCCTGGGTTTGTTTGGCTTTTCTTAAAGAAATTCATATTTCATAAAGAAAGCTTTATATTTCAAAGTTTGTCCCTTAAAGCAGTACTAGCAAACAGCTACATCCATGCATACAGCCTCTGCTTAAATGAGGATGTCGCAAGTTCAGCACTTGGTAGGACTCATGCTCCCTATTGGAAAAAGCCAGTTCAAAACCTGCACTAGCTCAGCTCAGTAGATGGAAATGTCTTCACAGTATTTTTCCTAAAAACTAAAAAGTTTTCAAACTCTCATTTTAAGACAAAGGACAAAAATGTTCTATCTAGCACATACTGAAGAGCAGGAACCCTCTGGCAAATCAAAAAACCAACGTACATGGGTGCTATTCTACTTGTCCTTCTTCTCTCTGCCATCCTGTCAAAAATCCAGGGTTTGGAGCAGAAGAGTATCTTATCACATAAGGGACACCCAGAGATCAATTCTTTGCCCCAGGAATCTCAAAGCTATAAAACAATGCTAGAAACCTCATTTTAGACAAGTCAGAGCTTGGATACCACAGGGACAGGCTCAGTCCAGAAAGAAGCTTAATGCCTAGATAAATAAGTTTAGATAAAAGTCCAGCTCCTGTGTTAAACATGCCACAAAGAAACAAAATAATTTTACTGCAATGAATGTAAAATCTTTGTTTTGCAAATCACTTCCACGGCTCATTCCACAGATCACTCAGCTGCCCAAATGTCCAGTCTGGTACTTGCTTACACATCCGCTCTTTGATATCCTCTGGGCACAAACCATTTTATTTTTCTTTCTGTGCACTTTATTTAAATAATATGGATTGAATAATTCACTCCACAACTCAAGCCAGTTCAAATGTAGAAACTTCAATCCACATAGCAATTCAATAGCACTACTATTATTAACAGAATATTTATTGGGTTATAATATATCACGCTTCAGTTTTTCATTTGCATTGTGTATGCCAATTCTCCCCTGCTTTACTCATGCACAAGCCCAAAGGGGATCTTGTCCCCATGCATGGCTGCAGTCCTGACAGCTGAGGGAAACATGTGTGGGACAGCACTCCCCAAAACAATCCAGTCGTGACCGCCTTTCCCTCCTGAACTGTTGCCAGTGCTTGTGAAACCACGGGATCCTCTAGCACATGGGTAGCTGTCCTGAAGCAAACTGACCTCCTCCCCTGCTCTACTCTCCACGAGCATCTGGAGGCCACCAAAGAGGTGCAGGCAAATCTCCACAGTAAAAAGCAAGATGTATTGCTGTGGGTAACAGCACAAGAGCCCCTCCTGCTCTTCTTGCACACAGGAGACCACAGACAAGGCACAAGTAGGGAGAGTGAGCTGCGCTGCAGAGGAACTGCCAAGAGTGGGAGCACACCCCCATGGATGCCTGCACAAAGGCATCTGGAGTGATGAACAAGATACAAATAGCCATAAGGGTCAGAGTAAAACTGGGCTATCTAACACAAAAGGCAAAAATGGGGCAACTCTTGTCAGTCTGCATGGTATCTTGTGGAAGCCAGGGAAAAGCTGCTCACCCCCCTGTGCATCTGCACGCACTTAAACCAGAGGAAACATGATGTCTACCCGAAATACTAAAACAAAAACAGAAGCAAAGCCAGTCAAAACCTGATCAAGCTCATGCTAGAAAGCTTGTTACGTGTGCATGAACCTGCCTGTGGTCTTACACATGAATAAATAAGCTTTTATTTGAAGTGAAACAATCAGGCGTTTCACATCACTTCCATTGGCATGGAACACCTAAATTTTAGATCTACAAATAATGAAATAATTACCATCCTCATCCTACTGTATGCACAGTAATCTTATTCTGATTCAAAACAGGATTTTGGGCTGGAATGTCCCTGAGATCTCACTCCTGCTAATGGCATTAATTCTAGCAGTGTGTTATGTGAAATATTTACATGTATTCTAAGATTTTTCTGCAACTTCAAGGAGCTGCCTACTCCATCTGCAAAATACCGATATGTTTGAGGATTTGTCTGTTGTGTTGCACCACTCACAGCACAGTTGTGCACAGGGTGACAGTGTACCTTCCACACAGGGCTGAGACAGTTGCTGCCAGCAAGCCCCTCACTGCTGCCAGTGCTCAGTTCCCTTGTAAGTTTGCTCCAGCTCCTGCACTGTTTTGCGTAAACAGCTGCCTTCCAGAACCACAGTTTAGCTCTAATTAATTTCTTAATGAAAATATAATTTAGTTTATACTTTAGTCCTAAAATCTGGGTCATTTCTAGTTCTCACTAGTGGTTCTCAGACGCCCAAAACTCCATGTAGGTCAAATCTGTTCTTTCATTCCACAGTTGAAGACTAAAACATTTCTAATATAAGAGGTTTTCTGAGTTCTTCACACACAAAATTTAGGAATGACTGTAAGATATACTTGGCCAATTTTGTCTAACAAATATTTACAATTAGACAACTAAGATTCCTCTGTAGGACTGCAACTTTCCCATGTCAGTTTTATCTCAGACAACTTTAATATTGCCAGTAACTTTAATAAATATAGCAACTAGTGAGTGCAAAGTATTACCTATGTATATTTATGCTCCAAACTAAGACTTAAATGAAAATACTGGCTGATACTACCAGCTACAAATTTTTAATCACTTTTCTCTAAAACAAAATCTTAAGTTATTAGTTCCTTTAGTAATCATGCAACTCCATGAATACAGCACTGGAGTGCAGGTGACAAAGCCTGGCTTTTACTGCCATCTCTGCCACAGGACTCTGGGCAAGGTAGCTCACCTTGCTTTGCCTCAGCACTTTAAGATCTGCATGCATCAAAGGGCTCTATAAGCCTGGTGTTAGTTATAATTATTTGTTTCTGTCACTTGGAATTTCCTTTAAGGTTTTCATGCAACAAAACGCAGCTTATTCATGTGTACTTGAATGATCTCTATAAAATTTAAAAGAGCTCAAGTCTCAAGAACAAGCCAGGAAGCAAAGGACTCTATTAATTCTAGTAGAGACCAAGAATTGAACTTGTGTCAGACTCTCATGGAGACTCACAGTGAAAGGTGCTATTCCTCTTATCTTGCACATATTCAAACAGTTCATCTAGTGCCTTTTTACCTTCAGGAAACAAGCCATATGAAATCAGTCATACGGGTATCAGCAGCTTCTTTTTCAAAACTGTATGTCATCAGGACATAAACCCTGGGCCTCTTCCAATCTCATATTTTTCCATTCTCATGGTTATTCTGCTGCCTTAATTGCACACACTTTTTTTTTTTTCTTCCCCCTCACTCCTTTCTGCCACAGAAAGCAAAAGCATTTCCCACATGGCAGAAAAACAGAAGTTATGAGATATCCTAGAATGTGGTCAAACATTGTTTTCCAAATGGGAAGCACAGTCAATTTTGACCTGGTCAGTATATGCTTAAAAATCTTCAAAACTAACTATAAAAATACTTTAAATCTATAACCCATATAAAATTTATGTGATCTACAAAGTAGATGTATAATCTATAACACAGCTATACACATATAATCTATGATAACAATTGCACAGCCAGTTTTTGGCCCAGGTTTGTAAATCTATTTTACAGCCTTGCGACCTGCAGCGGTATGTCCTTTTGCAGCACATTGGGGCTGCGACCTCCAGTCCCGGCATAGCCGGCGAGCAGAGCCTGCAGCACACATGCTGCTAAACAGTGCGAATCAGGCTGCTGGACCTCCGCCACGGGAAGCAAAATAAGGTTGGACTTGTTCCCATGTGTGCAGTTGAGATTTACTTTTCTCAAAGACAGTCCCTGACCTTGACTGTGGCCTTTTAAATTTATGGATTGGTAACAGGGAACCGAGGAATGAAAACACTCGAAGCTCCTTACCCTTCATATTTACCACACCAGATGGCTGCTGCTAAGTGTCAGCATCAGCCCAGTTTTACCATGTAACTGTGCTTGGGTACAAGAACTGTATCTTATCAGAGATGGTGTGAAGGCTGGCTTTTAAGAGGTCCCAGTGCTTCTCGCTCTGGTAATGCATTTTACTCATCTGGAACTCTTTCTTTGGGGGATCTGAAGAATTTATTGTTGGATACTCCTCTCCTGCCCCAGCATCTACCTCTTGAAAACAGTAGCTACCAACTGGTTTTTGCTAGGCACGCACCCAATCTTTTAGCTGGTCAAAGCTGACCTGATTTTCAGGAAACCCTGTTGAAATTGGTGAGCCTCAGTCATCAGAAAACCATAGAGATTTAAGAAGTATGTAAGTGTGAGACAACGGCAGGTTTCTAAGAGGGAACCTCCTTTGTCCTGAAACAGTATCAGACATTTCAACTTTTAATAACCAGGCTCTTAAAAAAAAAAAAACAACAAACTAATCCACTTTTCCAATTTTTCTCTACATCATGAGTGTCCCCTGACCCTCACAAAAGCTTGAACATGAAAATATTTTTGCTGGCCGATGGCTTCTGTAATAGAGTGGACAATTATTTAGTTCCTAAAGCAAATGGGTGTTAAATGCAAGGATAACTTTAAGCTAGCCTTGGTGTTTACATTGCATCTATTACCTTACCTTCCATAAGAGCACAGCCAGCAATAGGAAGATGAGAATTCCCACCAGCAAACTGATGGCAATGATCCATCCGACAACATACCCACGAGGCTCCAGATTGTGCAAAGCCTCAAAGACCACCTACAAAGCAATTAGAAAAAGATCTTTTTATGATTGGAAGTTACATTGTTTTCTCTTGTACTCATCTTATTAAACACATTGCATGGTGGCCTCACTGATCATATTTCATCTGTCAAACAAATATGGAATGCGTCCCTAATTTTGTGCTTTCCATCTATTTTTCGCAAGGGATTTAAAGCTTTTAAGTGGAGTGGCCATGCATTGGATCCAAAGGATATCAGCTTCCACTCCAAAAGAACTCTTACCCTGACAACCCCCTACCCCACCCCAGACACCTGGTGCTGGGCCACCAAAGGTGCACAAAGTTTTGCGTGAAAAACTCCATCTCTTGGATTGGCAGGGATTGCCATGACATCTCACATGGTTTGT